CGGCCTCGCTCAGCTCCCGCGGGGGCATGGCCCGCTCCGGGGACAGCCCGGGACCAGGCTCCGCTGCGCTCGGGGAAGCAGGTTCCACAGGCTGCCTCTGACTGAATCCGCCGAAGCCCGGCGAGCCGGCCGGCTGCTGCCCGCGGGTATATGTCGGGCCCCGCCCACCTTATCTGCATATCCCGAGAGGCCTTCGACCCCGCCCACCCTCCGAGCTTCCTCCCGGACCTCCTCTGCAGGGCACCCCGCGAGGTCAGGCAATCTCTAACACCCGGAGGTAGAGAGGCAGGCGGAAAACTGACGCTCAGGGAATCACACAGGTACAAGGACAAAGAATCACCAAAATGAGGCAGATCTAGGTATCTTGGCAGAGAAAGATATCTAGGTTTATCGTTAGGAGGAAGAAGCAAGTTGCAGAACACATAATGTAACCTTTGGTTCAAATTAAAACAAAAACACTAGGCATATGTTTGTACGAGTCTAAAAAAGTCTGGATAATAATTTTATTAATTAAAGAATGATTTTTAAAAATATAAAGATCATGACAAGGCAGAAAATAAGCGTGAACAAAGCAGGCAGGAATATATTGTACTCCCTTACACAGAAGAGCTTCCTCAAGGCAGGCTTTAAACACCTTCATTCTGCTCCTCTAAAAGAATTCAGGATGTGGAGAAGCTAATTAGGGAAGATCTTCAAGGACAGTTCTCCAACTGAATATTTTCTAAACCCCATAGTCTCTAATACTATCTTCATCATCATCATCAAAAGTACATAGCAATTACCCACTTGTTGATGCTGTTCTGGACCACCCACTGTCCTTGCCCTAGAAGGAGTTTACAGATAGAGACAAGATATCTCAGGTAGCCCTAGGAAGGTCACCAAGAGAGCAAGTGAATAGCTTGATGCTAATTTCGTCTCTTTATTTCAGCCACACCAAGTGACACTAGGCTCAGAATCCTTTCTCTGAATTCCAAGCCTGTACAAAGATCTCAACCTATACAAAGACCATTGAAAATACCTCATTCATGAGTTGTTGCAGTGAAAGTGTTGGGAGAGGAAGTGTTGTTAGTAGTGAATACTAAGAGATAATCCTATTTCTTACACAGTTGGTAGCATAAAAATCCGTAAGTTTTGGGGGAGGATATAGCTCAAGTGGTAGAGTGCATGCTTAGCATGCACAATGTCCTGGGTTCAATCCCCAATACCTCCATAAAAGAAAGAAAGAAATAAGAAAACCTAACTACCTCCCCCCGAAACAAACAAAGTGCAAAAAAAAAAAATCTGTAAGTTCAAATCTCTAAATCTCTTGGAAAAAGTCTCATGAGCCCTGATTTTTATTTATTTTACTTTTTCTTTGTTTCATTTTTTTTCATTGTTGGGCAAAAGTTGTTGAGGAGAACAACTAGAAAGTTGCTGATTTAACCATTAAAAGTTTGACTTGGGGAAATGGTAGGATCCCCATGATCTAAGTCTACATCCCAATGTCTGTATCCTACATTTCCTATGTCCAAATATCTGGGGTTGTTAATAATCCCTAATTATAGCCCCGATGACTTCTCAGATGTATCTATAGAAGTTTATTCATCTAGCAAGTAAAAGAAGCCTAAAAGTGTTGTCTTCCCGTTGTATCATACAGAACTTCCAGAAGCTTTTCTCTTTGCTCTCCTGGAAAGGGAGGCAAACATGGGGGATTGAAAAGCCCTGGACATCAGGAGATCTTTCCCAGTATTCCTACTCTTTCAGCTCGTTAGCTGTGTGATTCCTGAGAAATCATTTGCTCCATCTCAGGTGCCAGGTGAAGCGTATTTATATCTTAAAATCCTTCTGATGCTAGCAATCTGTGATTCAGAGAACCTCGGGAAGTTGCCCAGCACAGATGTCTGGAAAGAAATTGCTAGACACACACACACACACACACACAGTCTTCTTCCAGCGCTCTTGTCCTTTTACCCAAGTTTTAATAATAGTTTTATTGTGTCTGTAAATTTCAGGGTAACCCTGTTTAACCCTCTCTGCAGGTAGAAGGGTATCCATAATACACACATGAGGGGAGGGGTCAGCTGGGCATGGTTAAAGCCCTGACTTGTCCTGGGACAGTCCATTCTTCGCTGGCTCCATGGGTGGGGACACTTTCTGACCTGGGTCCCACTGTCTGAGCTGGTTTAGGGACAGTCTTGTCAGCAAGAGGGGGAGGGAGGAGACAACCTGGAGAGCTGGTGAGTCACCTGTTTCTCAGCTGAGGACTTGCAATTCTGGCTGCTGCTGCTGCTGGGAAAGTCCTCTCCCAGGGGTGGCTTGAGCCTTATTCCTCCCCCCCACCCCACAGACTGTCTGTCCCAACTTCCAGTCAGATACACATTTGCTAAGATTAAAACCTCGCCTTGATTTTCTCCATGGAGAAATGATTGATTTTAGGACTGGAGCAGGAAATACACAAGATGAGCCTAGAACATTTGGTAGTACAGAAAGTAAGGAAGTGCTAAACAAACAAACAAAACAACAGAACAACAGGAAGATGGAGATATGTTAGACGGACACAGGAGCCAACCAAGAGAGCTTCCAAAGGCAAAATCTGGGACAATTTGAGCAACAGAATAAACTAGTATTGGATTATAACCCAAAGTATAAAATAAATAGCCACAGGTCTATTCTGATATAAATTAATAATTGAATACATAAATAAGTGGGGGAATAACAGACAAATCTCCTGTGGAGAATTCCAAATAATGTATGTAAATACTGCACCCTCAAGGAGGAATGTCAACCCCCCCCACCCTTGTGGGCTATGCATAGTGACTTCCTTTCAAAGGTGGCAGTATGAAAAGAGTGGGGGAAAAAGTAACTTTACAGTGGACAATCCTGACAAACACTCCCTCAAGCAGGTGATCAAGATTAAGATCAATATTGACAAGTCAAGTTGATAGTAAGCACTCTTGATGTGATATGATGAGAATGACATGTTACCTCTGTGGTCTTCCTCCCAAGAACTCCAGTCTAATCATGAGAAAAACATCAGAAAAATTCCAACTGAGAGACATTCTATGAAATGCTGGCCCAGTACCCCTCAAAACTGTCAAGGTCATCAAAAATGAGGGAAGTCTGAAATACTGCCACAGGCAAGAGGAGTCTAAGGGGACATGACAGCTAAATGCAATGTGGCGTCCTGGGTGGGATCCTGGAAGAGAAAGAGGACACTGGGTAAAAACTAAGAATTCCGAATAAAATGTGAATTTAATTATTAATAATGTACCAATGCTGGCTCATTAATTGTGACAAATGTACCATACAATGTAAGATATTTATAATGGGGAACCTGGGTATGAGGGTCAGGGAAACTCTGTGCTATCTTCTTAATTTTTCTGTAAATCTAAACTGTTTTAAAAGTTTATTATATCTTGTAATAACCTTTCATAAAAAAATGTGAAAATGATATATATATGTATATGCATGAATGTGACATTGTGCTGTACACTGGAAATTGACATATTGTAACTGAAGGTACTTCAATTTAAATAAATAAATAAGTAAATAAATAAAAGTTTATTAAAAAAACAAAAATCTAATCAAAAAGTATGGTACTGGCACAAAAACAGACACAAAGATCAATGGAACAGGATAGAGAGCCCAGGAATAAATCTATGCTTATATGAGAAATTAACTTACAGCAAAGGAGGCAAGCATATACAGTGGGGAAAAGACAGCCTCTTCAATAAATACTGTTGGGAAAACCAGACAGCTATGTGCAAAAGAATCAAACTGGACTACTTTCTCAGACCAAATACAAAAAAAACTCAAAATGGATTAAAGACTTAAATGTAAGACCTGAACCCATAAATTTCTTAGAAGAAAACAGAAGCAGTACACTCTTTGACATCAGTCTTAGCAGTATTTTTTTGGATCTGTCTTCTCAAAAGGGAAACAAAAGCAAAAATAAACAAATGGGACGACATCAAACTTAAAAGCTTTTGCACACTGAAAGAAACTATCAACAAAAAAAGACAGCCTACTGAATGGGAGAAGATATTATCAAACAGTATATTCAATAAGGAAAAAATACATTTGATAAGGGCTTAATATCTAAAATATACAAAGAACTCATACAATTCAACATCAAACAAAACAAAACAATAAAACAAAACAACCAGATAAAAAGTGGCCAGGGGACCTGAATAGATATTTTTCTAAAGAAGATATACAGATGGCCAACAGACACAGGAGAAGATGCTCAACATTACTCACCATCAGGGAAATGCAAAATAAAATGACAACTGTCAGAATGGTTATCATCAAAAAGACAATAGCAAGTGTCAGTGAGAATGTGGAGAAAGGGAACATTTATGCATTATTGGTAGGATTGTAAATTAATGAAGCCATTATGGAATAGTATGGAGCTTCCTCAAAAAATTAAAAATAGAACTGTCATATGATCCAGCAATTTCTGAGTATTTACCTGAAGAAAACAAAAACAATATTTCTAAAAGATAAATGGGGGTGGGGTGGGTATAGCTCAGTGGTAGAATACATGCCTATCATGCACAAAGTTTTGGATTCAATTCCCAGTACCTCCTCTAAACATAAACAAACAAACAAACCTAATTACCTCCCCCCACCAAAATAAATAAAAGATAAATGCACTCCAATATTCACTGCAGCATTATTTACAATAGCAATGATATGGAAGCAACCTATGTGTCTATTGATAGATGAATGGAAAAAGAAGATGTGGTATGTATGTACAATGGAACATTACTCAGCAACTAAAAAAGAAATCTTGCCATTTGTCACAACATGGATGGATTAGATGGTATTATGGTAAGTGATAAGTCAGACAAAGAAAGACAAACACTGTATGATCTCACTTATATGTGGAATCTGAAAAACAAAGCAAACAAAGCAAAATAAAAACAGACTCATAGATATCGAGAACAAACAGGTGGATGCCAGAGGGGATGAGGGTGGCTGGGATTATATACTGAGTAAGGTTAAGAGGTGCAAACCTCCAGTTAGAAAGTAAATGAGCCAAAATGA